GGCGAACGGGCAGACTCCTCCGCTCCCTCACGGACGGCAGCCACCCCTCCTCGACTCAGGAGCGTGGCAGCGAGCTCTCCGTCCCACCTCGTCTTCCATCGTTCCAGCACCACCGCCTCGGGCAGCCACCGGCGGTCTCTCCGCTCGTTCCTGCTGCTTGATCTCCTCAGCACCGCAGGCTCTCTGACAGCGTGTCCCTCCTTCCTCCCGGGTTTCGGCACCAATGTAACAAAGTTCGTAGTTCGGGAAGAAGGAGGCGGGAACCGGCGAACACTTCAACAAAACTTTAATAATAAAATAAACACAAAACAGCGCGACAGCCCCTCGCGGACGACTGTCGCGCACAAACAAAACCAAAACACAAAATAAACTCCAGGCCTGGTCCTCTCTCATCCGACACGGTCATCACTCCTCCCTTTTATCCTTCCGGAGCTCCTCTATGAGACTCGAGACCGTTCTCGAGAACAGTTTGTTCAAATAATGAATTATTATTTTCTTGTGCAGAAGTTCTCCATCTCCCAGGTTAAGGAAAAGAGAGTTGTACAGGGAGATCCGTTCTCACGTGTGGGGTACTCTGGGTAAAAACCAGCTCCATGGCTGGAGCATGCCTCTCGGTGTTACAAACATAAAGGTAAACACACATCTATATCTTGTTACCTATAGCACCAGTTATAGAGCCGTCTACACCCCAAAGTGCATCTGAAACAGATTTTCCCAGTGTGCTTATAAACTATCTACAAATAATGGATGGAATTATTAATCTGTTTGTCAGTTGATTCTGAACGTGTGTGCTTGTGTGGAACAGGACTCTGAACTCCCTCCTGAGCCCAAAGATGTGCCCGTCCTCATCCAGCTGAGACTGCTGGACCAGAGAGATGCTACAGCAAAGGTGAGAGTCCCTGAACAGTCATTCAGTGTTATTGTAGTATTATTTATATACTATTTTGAATTAGCCTTTTTTAATTGTTTTGCTTTAGTTGTTTTATATCTGTCTGTCTGTGGGTTTCATTTTTGTAAATATTTATATTAAGCTATTATTTATTTTAATTTCAGTGTTAGTCTTACTCATTTTAATATTTCAACATTAAAGGGAAAATGAAAATTGTCATCATTTACGCACCCTCCACTTGTTGCAAATCTGTATGAGTTTCTTTATTAAGCTGAACACAAAAGAAGATATTTTTAAGACTGTTGGTAACCAAAAAGGTGACGGTAGCCATTGACTTCCACAGTATTTTTTTTCCATACAATAGAAAGTCAATGGTTACCATCAACTGTTTGCTTACCAACCTTCTTCTTTTATGTTCAGTAGAAGAAAGAAACTCATACAGTTTTGGAAATAAGTGAATGAGGACAGTTTTCATTTTTGGGTGAACAATCCCTTACTTCAGTTAATTCAGTAACATTTTCTAATTTTAAAGTTTTTTTTATTATTATTTTTTTTGCATTTCATCTACTAATCATATTTTATTTTATTTTATATATATATATATATATATATATATATATATA